TTACATTTCAATCACATAGCATTGGTAGAAATCACCTATACATAATATTCAGAGGTTACTTTTTATCATAATAATTTTACAAATCTTTGAATGGTTGTAGAGAAACCGATATATGTGTACAATGTATCATTTTATATATATCATATCGTGTGTTATTGAAAGCTAAGAGTTCAACATGAATTAGGGAGATCAAGATTCCTTTTATTTTTGACAATTCACCCCAATTGGAAACAGTTTTTTTGATTAACAAAAGTAATCCTTGGTAAAGGATGTAGGTAAGTAATTGGAATAACCCGTTGAATGTTTTTTCTTCTTCAAATAAGTGTTTGGTTCCCTTTCCCTATCCTAATAGTTGTTTAGATTCAAGCTTGATCGTAATTAGATGGTTATCAACGTAATATAATGTAAAAAAAGAAAACAACACTTTATGAATTTTATTCGTCCAAAGCGTTTTTTCTTTATTATTTAACCTTATCAGGAACACTAAAAGCATTTGATACTTAAAGGTGTATAAGAACCGAAATTCGTAAAGAGCTACAGGATCAAAAGGGACCTTTAAAGAAAAGCTAAATCCATATTAGGTTAGTTTTGCCTGCGGAATTTGGAAACTTAGTGTCCGAAAAATTTCTAAACCTTTGAACGGACAAATGGAATGTATGTTATAAATCATATCAGTACCCAAGCATCAATAAATTATGTTGTGTACACACCTGAAATGGTAAAAATTTAGGGTTTCATTCTTTCCACACTATAATAAACCTTCCAAGAAGAAGGTTAAATGGAGGACAAGCGCACATTTTCCTATAAAAGTTTATAGATATAAGAAGATGTGGTATGAGTGCCAATGAGACAACTCTCCATCAAATACTACTTAAATAGTACTCTTTATTCTGATTCTTTATAAAGCAAAATGCAACAGTATACAAATCCTTAGTAGTGTCCAAGCATAACTGCATAGATTAATAGAATAGACTCTTCAGAACTAAAAGGTTTTATTTTTTGCTCTCCCTGGGACGTTGTTGGTTAAAAAGAGTGTACCTAAAATGTCGGCGGATTTTTATCAGGGCAACCATTCTGAAAACGTTTTCAGAGCACTGCAACTTGAAAGAAGGCAGTGTGTCCTTCTTTAAGTAAGTCTTTTGTTAGAATCACTCTTTTTATTCACAAGGCAAAGGGAAAAACAGTTCTGAACATCTGTAAATATACTTTAATCCTTCAATTTTGATACAAAACATAACATACCTTTCAGTGATATGTATAATAAATAATGTAAACAATAGCAATTAACAATTACAACATAATATAAAATATGTAGATAACTAATTAGTTATAATAAAACCAATATAGCAGAATTTTACAACTAGTTAGAATTTTGTCTGTTGATGATAAAACAAAAAGATTACAGTACAGTCTAATAGAATAATTGATATGTGTTGTACTACATCATACTTGACAACTTTTTTCACTTTAGGAATGTATAAAAATGATCTACCTAGCTATCCAAAGATATTAAGCTTTTGTCTTTCCAATATTATAAACTATCAAATTGAATGCATAATAATATTTCAACCTTCTTTAGTTTAACTATAATTATTATCTAATAAATCCATGTAAGGAATAATCATTGAATATATATATATATATATATATATATATATATATATCAGGCTTAAGTATGCCAAAGAGATGCGAAAGATATCAATGAGCATATAATCTACATCAGAATCCTCGGTGGTCAAATAAACAAAAAAATTTCTTTCTTACATTGACTGAATGAAGTCATGCAAAGGGTCCTGCCTGTGTGATTCTTGTCAAACTTTTCTCAGTTATTCCTTTGTTACACCATGTCAAAAGTTATATTTGACCTTTTGAAGATATATCAAATGCACCAGGTCTTTTAAAAGACATTTTTCAAATATTTGACCATGATCATCACCTTTAAGAGAAATTAATTGTCTAAATGCACATCTGGTACTGTAAATTTGGTGCTGTTGATATTCCAAAACTGGTGCAGATTAAAAGTGGTGTTCTTAAAATAGAAATTTGTATTTCCAAATTGAGGACTTAAGCAGATTTTGTTAATAACTTGAAATGAAAACTCCCTAATTGCTAGCATAATTCTTTGATCCACTGGAAATTTGCTTAGGAGAACAATGTCAGTTTATTCCCCAATGTAATATCTTGATTCAGATGATTTTGATACAAATAAGTGAGATAAAAAAAATTCTAACTTCAGAGGAATATTGTAACAGTATATGATTTTACATTATGATTAAGAAATCCTGCATATTGAATAAAAATGTGAAACTATTCCTAACAAACTGAATAAACTGCTTCGCTGAACGCAGCTGGATACGTCCGCAGAGGTCCAACCCTGAACAGTTGTGGCAAAAATGGACACAATATTCAAGCTTGATACAGGTCTGAATTTGGATTGTAATTAAATATTTGACATAATATAGGTTTCTGAATAAATGTAGTCAAAGAACTTGAAATTGGTTATATGAATTGAATTTATATTCAATTAAAGATTTTTTGTTGTTGTGCAATACACTGTGCTGTTGCGCAATAATTAGTAAATCTGTTGTCAGACTATAAACAAATAAAGTTCAATTAATTCTCCATGTCATATTAGAAATTTATGAAAATGTAAAGGGAGCTTACATCAATAGATATAAACAATTCACCAAAGTTTCATGAGAATTGCTGACAGCATTTTTGAGTTATTGTCCGAAAACTGGAAAATCCCCCCTTTTTTAATGAATAAAACCCCACAACTCAGAAATGTAAAATGTAAAATTTATAAAATTCTAAACGGAGCTTACATCAATAGATATAAATAATTCACCAAAGTTTCATAAGAACTGCTGAAAGCATTTTTGATTTTTTGTCCGAAAACTGGAAAATCCCCCTTTTTTTATGAATAAAACCCTGTAACTCGGAAATGTAAAATCTAAAATATAGAAAAATCGAATGGGAGATCATGTCAATAGATATAAACAATTCACTACAATTTCTTGCAAGTTGGTGAAAGTATTCTCGAGTTGTTGTCCGAAAACTGGAAAATCCCCCTTTTTTAATGAATAAAACCCCATAACTTGGAAACGTAAAATCTAAAATTTATGAAAAACGAAAGGGAGCTCACATCAATAGATATAAACAATTCACCAAAGTTTTATGCAAATTGGTTAAAGCGTTTTTGAGTTAATGTCCAACATGTTGACGACGGACGGACGGACGGACAGAAGGACAACGGTATACAATAATACGTCCCGTAAACGGGCGTATAAAAATTGTACATAATGCCTATTTTTTCATTTCTATTCTAGATCAGAGCAAAACTTGTAAACTACATTTTAGTCATTTGAACTATGATAAATTGAAACACAACACAAAGTAACGTGGGTTTAAGGCACATTTAATTTCATATGCATAACAAGGAACTTTAGTTTATTTATTAAGCTCTATCCGGCTTAAATGTTACCATAAATTAAAGGTTCTTTCTAGAAACAGTTCATAAGGATATGGATTTAATAATTTGTCTGTGTCTCAACTCACAGTAGAAGTATTTTTTTTATTTCTGAAGACAGCAGCATAGCCTGTTAACTCTAAACATGCTTGTATCCTATTACCTACAGTGACAATTTTACCTGGTGTGAATTCACATGGTTCTCAATACAACCTTCCATTTGAAGTTCATGCAATTCCATCAGATCTTTTCATTACCGTTTGTATAACAAATACAGATTTTAAGAGTTTTGAAATTGGTTATCTACTGTTGCATCTTACTCATTTAAATAAATTATATGATTAATAAAATAATACAAATGAAGTGGACAAGGTCATACAGATTTTGTGGTGTGCTAAATAAGCAAACTTAACTTAATTGTTCTTTGTCTTTGGTACACTCTCAGATAGATATGCTGTAGTTAAGTAAACAGTACAAAGCTAAGCTTTACGTCGAACATATTTTACACAGACATTTGTATTTTTAGCATTGTAGATACATATTTGTGCACAAGAAATTTTGTACAAAAGTTTGGCAACATATTTTCCTAAACAGAAAAATTCCGCCATGAAATATTTATTCTTCTATGCATCTTTAATATTTTTTAAATAACTTTTATAGTCTTTTGTCAATAGTTTCATTACTGACAATTAAAACTTGTAATGCCAAAATTTGTATAAAAAGTATATAGAGATGAAGAAAAATCACTATACATTCACTTCATCAAAATAAATAAATGTAAATCATGCTAGCACTAAATTGACTGGAGAAGTCAAATGACTTAAACATACTTTAAACTTAACATAAGCATTAGATATACAATGCATTTATGATTTCAAATAATCTTTTGACTATGACACATACATGTACTATGAAACCAGAAAGCACTGAAAACACAAGGAACTTTTTTATGTTTCACAAAAAAGTTTAAATTTAGAAAATGATTTATTATTCACAATGTATCATCATTAGACCAGGAACTACTTTTTATTCCCTATAAAATACAACATATTTATTCCAAATACAAAGACTAGCTTAAATGTATACAGTCAAAAATTTATTGTATAAAACAAAACCCCCAAAAATCAAAAACAGCATAAAAAGCAAATATAATAGAATACATGCATAGTCACAAATATAAATGTTATATACAAATATGTGTGATATAAAATAAATCCAAATATATTATTATGACCAGAAATAAAGCTTTAAGGTGGTACCCAACACCTTGACTAACATTAATTTGGCTCGTTTAATTTTCCTAAAATTTTGACAAAATGTTTACTTTGACCCTTTGACAAAAATATAAAAATTTCAAAAAATTTGAACCAACCACTTTATCAGAAAAATTTCTTTGGTTATATAGCAGTTTGACAAACACTAATTTTGATCATTGAGAAGCTTAATATTTCCTTAACAATACAACGTAATTAAAACGTTTAGCTGATTTTTACAGAGTTATCTCCCTGTAGTGTTAGGTACCACCTTAAACTTGACAATCAGATCTTTACTCTTGAAATTTGCTACAATCTATCAGCTTTCATGTGAATGCTGTTTTCATGGTTGATACAAGCTTGTTTATGTCATGACTTCTGTAATGGTATGAAAAAGTAACCCCCAAAGTTCTCCTCCTGTTAAATTTGACCAAATATTGTGCAGAAAAATTTCCCCAAGTCATTGCACAAAATCCATCTTCTCTTCAAAACTTGCATCTGGGAATGACATTTATTTACAGAGGTATTCATAATTTTTTGGAGAGTCTAATTCTAATACATGTATTTAATGATTAATTTATGATGCAAAATGAACAGAAGGTTCAAGGTAACAGATAAAAATAAAATGTACTTTTCACACTTTTTGACACACATTTCAATCAGAACTTTTACTCTTTCTGTTTTTCTAATTCTTTCATATGGTGTAATGTAAATTCAGAAATTATTTCGATGTTTTATTAATTAGAATAATTGGACTGGGTTAGCATTAAAATAATTAGAACTCACATTCTGATATAGGATACATCTATCTGTCGGCAAATTTTCCTAAAATTGCAATAATAAATCAAGCCTTCTTGTCCTTTCTTAAAAAATCGCAATAATAAATGCAACGCAATAATTTCTGAATTTACAGTAACTAATAAGTTTGGGTGGTAATCTAATTGTAGTGACTTTAGCATTCAACTTAAGATTGGTAAAATTCAAAAGAAAAATTACATTGGGTATGATATTTCTTACTCTAATTTTCTAACCAATCAGACGAATCATTATCTATAATGATTGAAAGGTAACTACTTTTCACTACAGGCCTTGCGGTTATAAAACTTTTGAGTATGATTTTTGTACTCGGACTCAGTAATCAACCAATCAAAATACTGGATTTGATGTTTAGAGCACAAATATTGTACTCCGAGTACTGAGTAAGTTTTATGACCGGGACCCCAGGTCTTAATATAAGCAAGTGCCAATAGTCATGTTGATCAAAAAATATAAAAAAGGTAGTATATACAGGTAAATAGTTAACCAAGTATCCCCCTGATTTATGTACTTCATACATTAATAAAAATAAAAGAAGATGTGAGGTATATGTCAAAGTGACAGCAAATCAATGGAAAAAAATTCAAAATGGATTCTAGGTGGACATATTGCATGAATTTTTACATTTTAAATGACATCAAATGCACTTAGTTTGTGTTCAATCTAAATTGTTGAAACAGTTCCTTAGTAAATGATGAATGTATTTTCAACTGACCTTTACTCAGTCTTTTTGAGTAAATTAACCTACAAATCAATCTATGTCCCTGAATGATACATGCCACCTGTCAATTTTAATTCAAATCTTTAATAATCAAAAAAATTAATTCTTTTTTACGCCTCTAGTTGCTTACAAAATGTTCCTAAGTTTCCATTATCAAAGTTTCAAGTGTCTTAATATCTATCAAAACATTTTTTGAAACTATCATTTTTCCCAACGTTAAGGATGAAAGAACCAATAGTGAAAATCTCATCTCTTTTTCAATAATGTTTTTGCAAATTCAGAAATTATTGCATATTTGCCTTGGGATATGTTTCACAAAAACAAAAAGTCCCATCTAAATTTAGATAGTATTATTTATATGCTGTATTTCTTAAAATTGCAATAATTGATCTTGCATTTGTGTGTTCAATAATCACAATAATGAATGCACACAATAACTTCTGAATTAAAGTATTCATTATTTCCTTCTTTCAACCATGTTAACAGCTGAGATATGTTTTAATCTATATTTCAAGTAAGATTCAACAATGAATAATTACTTGAATACAGCATTAATAACTGATTCCATGTATATGCTATTTGTATAATTTCATTTTGTATATCCCATCGTGATATTATCCAATCACTTCACAGATTACATTCAAATTCATTTGTAAAACATTCTCTGATTGGTTAACAGCCACATGCTGAGTTGTTTTCATTAGTTGAATCGTCATTAGGCACAACCCTAGATGTACTATCAGCTTTAGCTTCAGATTCCTCAACTTGTTTCTTGAAAATATCTGGCAACAAAGAAGTATTCTACATTTGTCATGTTTGTATATTAATGTGTATAAAGATTATAATGGAAAGTTATAATTCTAAAATATGTCTTTAATGGTCCAGTGACACATGAATGCTAACAACTAATATTACTTCGTTTTTGAGAACATACAATGTTTTTCAATGACAGCCAAAATTTCAAACCCTTCTTTCCACTTTGCAGAACCAATATAATAGATGTATTGTTTAATTTGTTCTTATCCTAGATAAACATGAAATATTTGACTTTGGACATCAAAAATCATTATGACCAATCTACAAAGAATATATATTAAAATGTTACGGACATTTATCACAATGGAATTCAATTAAAATCAATCTAAATAAAACTCTAAATAAAGTCAATAAAGTGCAAATGTGTGGAGGTAATCAGGCTTTATGTAACTGTTTCAAAATTTGAGGATTGTCAAAGTGAAATGTATATGAGCTTTTGAGGAGTGTAACCTCAATGCAAAACATTCCAAAGTAAACAAATGGTTCAAGGGTTATACAACATGCCCTTACATCTGTGACAGGACACATAATATGGGCCACTGGACGTTAAGCAACCAACAATCAATCAATCAATCATAATATGGGTAAACATGTAAGAAATTCAGTAATTAATAACTTACCAATTAAAAGGTTGTTAAATGCCTCACCAACATTTGATGAATCTAAAGCTGATGTTTCAATAAATGAATAATGTCTTTCATCTGAATAGAAAAGGGAAAAAAACAAAATATTAATGGTAGAAATTCAGTGTACAATTCCGGTTTTTACATTTTTAGATTTCATACATAAAAGTCAGTATTACTTCGAATTATAAGTATTACTTTAAATTCATTATTTTTCGTGGGATACCGATTTTGGTGGATTTCGGGGGTAAAATTAACCATGAATATAAATGTTCAATGAAGTTCAAATTTTCATTAGGCTTGTATGCAGACTTTGATAAAAACAGGAAATCAAATATCCACGATAATACAGTTTTTCCTAAATCCATAAAAATTGGTATCCACGAAAAGAAATGAATCCCCAGTTCTACCCGGTAAGTTTAATGTACTGTGGAGATTTTATAATTTTGTGATACACTCTTCTCCCATTAAAGGAATATTATAAAAGTAAACACATGATTATTGGTATTGTTCATAGGAATACAGTGTTCTCCCCAGGAATTTTGGATAACATCACATTTGGCGTAAAAAAAAATTGTGTATTTATTTTTCAATGTCATTTGTTGCGTCGCGGCGATGCTCTCTTTCTTTTAAGTTATGTTGATTTTTTTCAATTCATAACTGAGAATACAATTAAAGTATAACTGTTCTTTTAGTTTATTTCTTTAATATTCATTTATAGTTACAGAATTATATTTTTCTTGTTAGAAACTACCAACTAAAAATCTAGTACAAAAGAGAACTTCTTTTATATCAAAAAGGAAAAGAAAGTATCATATAGTAATACCATTTCAATTAAAAACTATTCTGTTTATCATGTTTATGAAATTCATTATTTCCTGGGACTCAATGTATCAGTCCCAGTTGTTTCAAACAGATATATGTTTTTAACATTGTTAAACTACTTTAATCAGTAAATTAATTGAAACAATGCGTTTACATAGAAATAAATACAAATTCCAAGGAGATCTAACAAATAGTCTGTAAATTCGTGTGGAATGAGTAGCTTTCCCCATTGGGATCATTATTATTCTGTCAGCTGTGCCGTTTCTGCGTCTGTAGTTATTACCGTAAAAATGCGGATTTTTATCATAGCTGGTCCGCTTCCCATCCGTAATTAGTACAAATATATCAATGGCGGTCGAAGAAAAATTTACGAAAATAAACAATGTTTGAGAAGCGAATTGGATGGATATATCACGGTTTTACTGTAATAAATAGATGAAACATTACCTAAAGGCAATTTTCATCACGTTCTAATGAAGTATAGAACTTATTTTGCCCAGAACCGAAATGTTTTATGTACGCTCTCGAGTACCGGAATGGAAAGAAAACACTTCTTTACAAGTTGTTAGCTTGAAATATTAAACGACCAGCCTGTTAAGTTCGCTCGTTTTTTTTTTCTTCTCTTAGAAGACGAATTTGCCTTGATTCAAACGTAGATTTCGAATTGTTTATGATTTCTCGTGTTATCAGTCATGTCATAAGTGTCAGCTTGGGGTATTCGGTATCCAAACAGTTATCACCCAAAGGGCAATTAACACCTATTTAATCAATTTAATTGCCTCTTATGTCCGATTTGAAGGGATTACAATTAAAGGTGATATAATTTTTATGATCACAAGCGGCAATTCGATGAAAGTTCGAAATTTAGGACATCGATATTGCAGCAATTTAAGAGCAGACAAGAAAAAAATAGCGTCCTCAAAATAATTAGAGCGTCGCGGAAATTATTATAGCGTCACAGTAAAAAAATATAGCATCGCGGGGCCGCGACGCTAAAATGGCCTGGGGAGATCACTGGGAATAAACAAGTTGAATTGTGATCTATTGCGGCCTAATGACACATCCCTATAAGGATTCTGTTTGACAGGTTGTTGATGAGTGCTGGATGGAAAAAAACCATCACACAGAATAACATGTTCACATGAAGGTTGATTCAATATTTCAGAATGCTTTCATTTGTACTTCCTGCGAAAAATGCAAAGAAAATTTCATACATGGCCATTATGTGTAAAAATACATAAGTATACGGTTAACAGGAAGTTAAATCTGAAAATGCATCACTCAGTCAAGCATGCTAAAGCTGATGATTGCTTACATCCACTTTAATTGAACTTTGGTGGATAGTTGTCTCAATGGCAATCATACCTCATCTCCTTATTTTTATAACATGAAGGTTGATACCTAATTCCGTGAAGCTCTGATTTAAAGTTGCTGAGAAAAATACAACCAAAAATGGACAGATATCAATCAGTAATAGACAGATGTTAAGATGTTCGCTACTCTTGTTTTTGACTTTTTGTCAGATACTCGGAATCCTCTAGTTTTATCCATGTAGTGCCAATAAAAATTTTGCCCGCTTACACCTACTTTTCTTTTTATAACTTTATTACATATAGTTTAAAAGGCCATTTTTGAAAATCTTATAACATCCTTGTTATTTTTTCAAAGATTTTGTGAGAAAAAAGGAGCCAATGTTAAATATGAAAAGTCTAGACAATGCTAGAGAGAATAATTTCCTACCAAATTTTCAAATGATTATATCTCAAAAATAAGGACACAAACCTTTAATTGTTTCTGCTTTTTAGGTTCCTTTATTTATAAACTATCAATTTATAATAGTCCTTCACTAAAAGCTTGTTATTTTAAAACAGAGGAGCAAACATCCTTAATCAAGTATTCCTCCTCCTTTTGAGCATATGTATAAGGATGAAATCAAACAGTGGTTCTCTCTGGATACTCTAGCTTCCTCCACCAATAAAGACTGACCACTAAGATATAGACAATAGTGCTGAAAGTGGTGTTAAACACCAACAATCAATCAATCTATCTATTGGTGAAAACATTATGTGAACCACTGTCATGACTGTTACACCGTGTCAGTCTCATACTGAACATACTGAATTTTGTAATTAATAGTAAACGATGCTATAAATCCATGTCAATTTAAAAAAAATACTATTGCCACATGACATGTTGTCCAAGGTTTAATAATAAATAATTAATCAATCAAAAGTGTTATTTTTCTAAACCAACTAAATTAATAATATTGGTGATTCTATTTCTATCTATCTTCTATTAATTCCATTAAATTATTCTTTTTCTATGTGTCATATCTAATTTTCTCATCCCTCATATATTGTGATTATTTCTGATTTTCAGGAAAAGCATGTGAGAAAAAAAATTAATATCATGCTCAATGTTAGCACACTGGAAATCTTAAAAAAAAGAATTCCAGTTGTCCCCCTTTGAGCAGTAAAAATATAAGCAGAAATTCAAAGTTTTTGTTTTATTGTTAGTGATTTTTGCTTCTTTGATTTGTTTTAATTACAACTTGAAAATGTTATCATGTTATCATTGTAAACATCAGGTCAAAATCAACATTCTATGATAAAACCCATTGTCATCAACAACATTACGAAAAAAATGGACATCTGATGCAAAATAGTTACCTGTCACTTAGCAGGACAATGGATGACATAAACACACTGTGTTTAATTGACACCTTTTTTTACATGACCTAACTTAAAGGAACCAATTTCACATTTATTAAACATAAGTCCTATCATTACTCGAGTAAAATATGAACTATACTAAATCAATGAAACATTTGGAGAACTGAGGTGCTAAATTGGACTCCAATAAAACTCAAGATCTGCACATGTGGAAGTATGGTCCAAGGACTTTTCAAAAATTGTTTGCAAGTTATACTTTAATGTTCATGACTTGCAAGTAATTTCCTCAGATTTTGTGTCATAATAGTTGCAGGAACATCTGAAACATCTATTTAGAAGAAAGTTGACAATTCTATATAAAACTAGAATAGGTGACAATCTAATGTACTTCAATGGATTGATTTATATTCTTTGATATCAATCATTGTAGTAGGAGATAAATTTGCTAATTCAAAAGATACTACCTAATTATGCTGTTACAACATTTGCTAAAATCAAAGTATCTATAAATATTTAATTCATCTAGCATCTTAATATATGAGCCAAAAAAATAATATCCAAGTCAGAGCCATTTTTCATAGAACTAGATAATGGTTTACTCCAAAACAGATTTAATTACAGGTAAAATACCTGCAAAAGCTCTGCCCTCTTCGTGTGTGACCGTTCTCTGCTCACGTAAGTCTGTTTTGTTACCGACAATTATAACACAAACATTAGGATCAGCATGCTGCTGTAACTCGCTCAGCCATTTCTGTAGGTTCTCGAACGTGTGTCTCTTCGTAATATCATAAACTACTAAAGCACCAACAGCTTGTCTGTAATAGCTAAAAATATTACATAAAAATGTACTGCAAATTCAGAAATTTTTGCAATGTTTTTATTATTGCGAACATTTCCACAGAATAGACATTGCCAAAATAAAAACTGGTATTTTTAAAAATAAGTTAGATATATTCCAGTTGTTTCTTGTATTATTATGAAACGACTTCCTGTTGGTTGGTGTTAAGATACATGGTACATTCCTCTTGGTCATGGGGGGTACTTAAAAATTGCCTTCCGACCCTAGTACCTCCTTTTTAATGGAATAGCCCTAAGGAGTAGGTTGGCAAAGGGTCCATATTGAACCTTAAATTCAGTGAAATTTACTCTTGAGTAATAAAAATAAAATTTTGATGACAAAATATGTAAAAATATCTGACAAATACAATTTCAACAAGCTCATATTCATTTATAAGTCAAATAGTGATATCGTGTGTTATAATTGTGGAGTCTTATGACTAATTTTTTGCTTAAAACTTTTTACTTCAAGCTACTTTGGCCACATGCAAAGACCACCATAATTTTTTGTTAGGATGTGTATCTCACTCATATACATCTTTTTATAACAATTTAATTTTGGTTGAAATGTGTGACCAATGTTTTTTAGAAGGAAATATACCTTACAAATGCATATAAACTGACAATTTGATTAAAAACTTGAAAAATATTATACTTATGAAGCTGTCAACATGGTTAAAACGAACACCAGACAACAAAGAGGTAATAAAGTGAGCATTGTCAGATCCTTAGAAGTGAAGCATGGACACAGAATCTGTATATGGGCAATAATTTGGTATTCGGCCTTTGGTTTCTTTTTGTATCTTTTTTTTTAAGTTCTAAAACTTTAACGTTTATTCTGTGGGTTGTGTTGGTGTGAGAATAGTATTAATGGAACAAGTGGGTTTTTCAAGCAAAAATTAATCCATTGTGATTCACCATTTTCGTGACAGGAAAACAAACAGGGAACAAAACTTTATTTTCTTTATTTTGCACAATTTATTTCAAAAGACATAAATGAACACAATTACTAGTGTTACTTGCTTCATGTTAATATTTAAAATCTATTTTCAATGTTAAATTAAGGTTTTTTTAAATGCGACAGGAAACCATAAGAAACCGAAAGCATTTTTTTTAGTTTTATTTTATTGGAAAATCAGCTTAAAATAATCTGAACAGTAAACTTTTTCTTGATTATGTTACTTATAACTTTGGTTTTTAAATTTAGGACTGTTTTTGATAATTTTTTTCCAATAGACAATAAAAACTATGAGAATATAGAAACAAGGGTGTCACTAAAATCAGGGGTTCAAATTAGCGGTGGTCCGAGGTCCGTGACCTTCCACTAATGCAATGGGACTTACATTTTGGTTACTACACAGGAAAAATTGCAACATATGTTTTTCATATGTTTTCAAAACATATGTTTTTCATATGTTTTCCATATGTTTTTCATATGTTCGAAAACATATGTTTTCATGTCGGGCCTAAACATATGTTTACATATGTTTTCAAACATATGAAAAACATATGTTAAACATATGAAAACATATGGTGCAATTTTTCCTATGTAGCTACGCCCGACGGACCTTCGATTTGAAAGAAAATAAAAATTAACTTGCCGACCTTTTTAATAATCAGTATCGTCATTTCAAAGCCATATTACTATTGACATGGTATACCCCTTGAGAGTTTATTTCAAACCATTTTAACTGTCGGCAAAATAAGTTTGTTAACCCATTAGAAGTGATGAATAAAGGCAACAGTAGTATACCACTGTTCGAAACTCATAAATCGATAGAGATAAAAACAAATCCGGGTTACAAACTAAAACTGAGGGAAACGCATCAAATATAAGAGGAGAACAATAACACAACAAAAACACAACATTAAAAATGTAACACACACAGAAACTAACTATAATATAACAATGGCCATTTTCCTGACTTGGTACAGGACATTTTAAGAAAAAAATGGTGGGTTGAACCAGGTTTTTTGGCATGCCAAACCTCCCGCTTTAATAGCAACGTCAAACACAACACCAAAACGACAACATCACATGACAGGACCACAATACAAATAAATGGGAGAACATATAGAATAAAGAAACACACGAATAATGGCTAACAAAAGGTACTAGGCTTAAAATTCAATACGCCAGACGTGTGTCTTGTCCACACAAGACCATCCAGTGACGCTCAGATGAAAAAAGCTTGAAAGCCAAAACAAGTACAAAGCCGAAGAGCACCGAGGACCAAAACTTCCAAAAAGTTGTGCCTAACACGGCCAGGGTTTTCTGCCAGGGACAAGAACATCCTTATTATTTAGAGTAATTTATAATTTTGCAAACAGTAAATTTTATAAAATGACTATATAATAGATATACATGATAAAAACGAAGTGGGGACTAACTACAGAATAAAAACGGATACATTACATAAATCAACTTAATCCAACATATAAAAATACACAGCCGAGTTAGCCAAAGCATCAACGCAAAGTGACGTCACATTTGAAATTCTAAAAAACACACAAAGTGACGTTACATTTAAATTTGTAAAAATATTTCCCAAAAATAAGATAGGATGAAAAAAGATGAAAGTTGCCTTAAGTAAATTTGTAATCCATTCATTGCATTAAAAACGTCATATTCCCTTCCAAATAGCGTTTCAAACATAGTTTATTTTTGTAAATTTTCTCGTCCGCCATTGAAATATTTGTACAAACTACTGATCAGTCGGGAAACGGACCAGCTATGAATGAAATCCGGATTCTAAGGATAAGACTACGGACCCATGAATGGAACATCTGACAGAAGAATATTAATCCCAAAGGGAAAAATTAAGCATTCCACACTTTCTTTTCTTTTTCGATGTAAAAAAAGGTTGTTTCTTTATTAGTGCTAGATATTTAGTTGGTAGTTTCTAACAAGAGAGGAACTAATATAAATGTGCAACATATGATGAACTTAAACAGCTATGAATTTGAACTGTTACTTTAATTGTATACTCGGTTATGAATTGAACAATATAAAAAAAAAGATAGATATAGGCCTTTATATTATAGTAAAAATCAAACATTGTAGCGCCTTGAGTGAGCACTTCTCTTTCAAGTCTCACCACTTCTCCCTATCAGTTTAAAAAAGAGAAGTCACTTCTCCTTATGATTCTGAAGTAGTGTAAGCCCTGAGATAATGGTATAATTACCAATAATTTTGTATCTTACTGAGTTATGAAATATTTCAAATAAAGTAGGACCTGGGATTTATGTTGTGGACCTTTCAGTTTGGAGTGTCAAAGGTCCTGGACCTTCCAGTACCAAATGTTAATTTGAACCCCTGTAAAATAAATTATTTTTTGGGCGCCAACTGATTTTGACTACCAATGTATTTTCTCTTGCTTTTTGTTATAATTCTTATACACTTTTATATGTAGCACATGTAAAATTGAGAATGGAAATGGGGAATGTGTCAAAGAGACAACAACTCGACCATAGAGCAGACAACAGCCGAAGGCCACCAATGGGTCTTCAATGCAGCGAGAAACTCCCGCACCCGGAGGCGTCCTTCAGCTGGCCCCTAAACAAATATGTGTGCCTACTAACCCTTAGAAACCCAATGCAGTGTGCTAGCTAGCTCTGTAACACAATTGCATGGTTTACACTTTGTGCTTATGCGTCACTAACCAGAAAATTCAAGCACTGTATAAACTGGAAGATCTAGCTAGTGCTACTTATCTTATATAATGTACTTTTCTATAAAGGGCTGTTCCAGAACTGAATGTATGGGGGTGTTGGGAGGCACTTTCTCAGCTCTCACTTTTGATTCAATTCGAAAGATGCAGGACATTTTAAATTTCTAAATTTTATTGAACACAAAACAAACAGCGTGATCCATCAAACATGTTAATGTTTGGAACATCCAATATGTTAGTGATAAAAATAAAATTGAGAATGGAAATGGGGAATATGTCAAAGAGACAACAACCCGACCAAAGAGCAGACAACAGCCGAAGTCCACCAATGCGTCTTCAATGCAGCGACAAAATCCCGCAGCCGGAGGTGGTCCTCAGCTGGCCCCTAAATAAAATTGTGTGCTAGTTCAGTGAAAATGGATGTCACACTAAACTCCAAAACATACAAATGAACTAAAATTAAAAAACATACAAGACTAACAAAAGCCAGAGGCTCCTGACTTGGGACAGGCGCAAAAATGCAGTGGGGTTAAACATGTTTTGTGAGATCTCAACCCTCCCCCTTTACCTCAAGTCAATATAGAATAAAATGCTCCGCAGTGCGCAGCTTGATACGACCGCAGAGGTCGAACCCTGAACAGTTGGGGCAAGTATGGACACAACATTCAAGCTTGATACAGCTCTGAATTTGGATTGTGATTAAATATTTGACACAACATAGGTTTCTGACACAGAATGAATGTGGTCTAAGAACTTAAAAATTTAAAATTGGACATTCACCTATTATGGTCCAATATCCAAAATCTAAATACATGGTAAGATTCAGCATATCAAAGAACCCCAAGAATTCAATTTTTGATGAAATCAAACAAAGTTATATTTTGGACCCTTTTGACCTCAATGTGGACAAAGTTGATAACGGGGCCCAAAAATCAAAAATCTAAATACATGGTTAGATTCAGCATATCAAAGAACCCCACATATTCAATTTTTGTTGAAATCAAACAAAAGTTTAATTTTGGACCCCGATTTGGACCAACTTGAAAACTGGGCCCATAATCAAAAATCTAAATACATGTTTAGATTCAGCATATCAAAGAACCCTAAGAATTCAATTTTTGTTAAAATCAAACTTAGTTTAATTTTGGACCCTTTGGACCTTAATGTAGACCAATTTGAAAACGGAACCAAAGATTAAGAATCTAAAACACGGTTAGATTCGGCATATCAAAGAATCCCAATAATTCAATTTTTGATGAAATCAAACAAAGTTTAATTTTGGACCCTTTGGACCTCAATGTGGACCAATTTAAAAA